TAACTATGTTCAACACTATTTTTCTCTTTTTGTAATTCGGGGCCTCACGCTGGGATAAGGAAGTCCTCTACCACTTGAGCCATGTCCATAGTCCTACACGTGTTTAAAGTTTAATATTTTGATCCTACAAGGTAGGTAGATACTTTTTTATAGACAAATCATTAGGCAACTTTGCCTGAAGGGCCCTCTGCCCTTACTTCCACTCAAATCCTTAGGAAAGTTTGTGGGGATTTGGAGGGTGAGGGCAGACAACAGGATCATAGGACAGGGTTACTGGCTCTTGTATGGGAAAATAGAAAAGGAGAGGTAGAAAATACCGAGAAAGCATGATGGTCCACAAAAATCGTGTAGATAAAGTATATCAAGTTTACAGGAGTCCCAACATGCAGATTAGCTGTGCTCAGTATTGAGGAAGAAGTAGGTTTATCCAAGAGTGTTCTTGTAAATTTACCAGAGATTCCAAATTAGGTAAACTTATTGAAGGATCCAAGGTAATTCAAAATCACTAAGAATTAGAGACGACTTCAGGTAAAGATGACACTGTGGATCCATATGCATACTTCCACTTCTACCAAAAATATCAAGAAAAATATGATAAAGAGATTATGTTTAGAGGATTAACTCCATTCAGACAGATACAGAAGAGCAAACAACATTAAAAGTTATAGAAGAAGTTACCAAATCCCTGCTGGCAAAAGGGACAGTAGATAAGTAACCTCATTTGTACCACAGATACTTGAAAATGGTGAGAACTATCAGCATCACAGAGGGAGGGAAAGGTAAAGTGAAGGTCAAAATAGGGAGTAAGTCATCTGGCTGGGGAATACTGGGCCCAGCTAAAAAGAAAGAGGGGAATTATGAAAATATTACAAAGTGCGGAGATTTTTTAGCCCTGTTCCTCAACACTAGACTTTGCATTTAAACTTCTGGTTGAAGATTTTGCCCAGAATAAAGACTGAAAGAGATTCTCAAAAAGAGACAAGTTGGCCAGCTCAAATTACATCTGGTAAACACACTCAAGAATTTCTACTGAGCCTTTTAGTGTCTCTCAGAGTAAACAGCTAGCCAGGGATCAAAAAATATCTAAGAAAAGCAAGCAAATAAACAAACAAAAGCAACTGTATTGTAGGGATGGGAAAAAGAAGGATACATCAAACAACTATGCGGAGAGAAGAAAATGCCAGAATTAGTCTTTGATAATGCATCTGTTAGGTATGGCCAGGATATTGTGGAAAAAAATAAATATAAGGAAGACGCAGAGAGTTAATAAGGATATGGTATAGAGGAAATACATAAAGGAAGTGTTATACAATAAAATATAAAGTATTATAAAAATGTAAACTAATGTAAAATAAGAAAGAAAAACAATTCATTGGGAATGTTTGCATAGCTATCATATAACCATTAAACATTAGTACAAATTTTAATATTAAGAGGAAGGAGAGCCAGGTGCTGGTGGCTCAGGACTGTAACCTTAGTTATTCAGGAAGCCGAGATACAAGGATCATGATTTGAAGCTAGCCTGTGTGGTGGTTATCACCAATTAACCACCTAAAAGACAAAAGTAAAGGTGTGACTCAAGTGCACCAGCACTGAGAAAAAAAAAAGCTAAGGGACAGTGCCCAAGACAAGTTGAAGCTCCAGTACTGGCACAAAGAAAGAAGGGAGTATGAGGAAGTAGGGAACGGGATAAGGAAGCCAAATTCTTATCTTCCACAGTGAGAAGTAAACAAAAAGTGTCTAACACTGAACAACTAAAAATAATCAATAGAAGTACAATATTTACATACATGGAATCAAATCTTAAGTAACAAGATAAAGAGTTGAAAGTAGTTTGTTCTGAAAGAGTGACGTATGTGTATGAGAGAGGTAAGGGTTAGAAAGGTGCGTAAGAGTTTTTGGAATAAATTCTATAGAATATGTAACATATCCACATATATCCTTTTAACTAAAATAAAGAAAGAGGAGAAAGAATAAAGAGAGAGGGAGGAAAAAGAAAACTTTCAGAGGCATGATAGAGGTATTAAGGCATAGCCTACAAGATCAAACTTGGGATTTTTGTAGAAAATGAAAGCAAAAAAGTCTACAGAAGTGAAAAATATCTACAATCTTTAAAGAAACATAGACAAGTTATCTATTTCCAGGGCTCAAATGCAACAACTAAACGATAGCATGTAGAAAATGTCTTCATGCTTTTTCTCCTCAATTTCTTATTCTCAAATCATTTCTGAGTGATGACAATATTATACCAGGCTTTGTTCCCTTTCCTTGCAGCATCCTACAGCATCTATTTATATAGGCCACCATCATCTTCCCAAATGTGTCCACCTCTCATTCCCTATTACGCAGGCAAGAAGACATTTCTGAATTCAAAGCCAATTATACCACTTTTTTGCTTAAAACATTGAAGTGGTTTCTACTGCCTTTGGATAAGGTTTGAACTCTTGAGCCATCTAAAGCTTCATAACCTAGCCCCTGACATCCCCTTGGGCTCTTAAAATTTCCAGGAAAGTTGTCCCATCCTACCCTATCTCTAAATTTCAGCAGGCCATACTGAAGTCCTATGTACTTCATCTCTGACATCTGCCCTGTGATCTCCTCTATTCTAAAATGTCTCCAATTAAAATTATATGCAAAATTAGGTGTGTAATTCTATTATGTACCTATGAAAGAACATGTACAGAAGCATACACATGATGTTGACAGTGTCTATAAATCTGCACAACACCAATATGGGAACTACTCTAACAATGTCTTAAACTAGGCATGGCCAGCTCAAACCTGTAAGTCCTAGCTACTCAGAGGCTGAGGTTTGAGAATCATGAGTCAGTGGCAGCCTGGGCAGGAAAGTCTGTGAGTTTCATCTCCAATTAAGCCCCAAAAAGCCAGAAGTGGAGATGTGACTCAAGTGGTAGAGTGGTAGCCTTAAGTGAAAAAGTCAAAGAACAAGTACCCAGACCATGAGTTTGAACCCCAGTACCAGAACAGATAACAACAACAAAATGCATCCCTTAAGATGTAAGACTACAGTTGAACCAAAAAGTGGTAGAATTTTTGCATGAAAAGCATATATGAATTACATATGTCAATATTAACTATTTTTTGTTTGTTATGGGGCCTGAACTCAGGGCTGAGGCACTGTTCCTGAGCTCTTTTTGCTTAAGGCTAGTGCTCTATCACTTTCAGCCACAGCTCCACTTTCTCTGTTTTTGAGTGGTTAACTGGAGATAAGAATCTCACAGGGACTTTTCTGCCCAGGCTGGCTTCAAACTGGGACACTCAGATCTTAACCTCTTGAGTAGCTAGGATTACAGGTGTAAGCCACCAGCACCTGGCTTTAATTATGTTTTTATGTTACCAGCATGTCCTACATTGCCTTTTGTCCCCAAAAAAGTTAACTAAATTGTTTGAAAGTCGGATTCCCTGGAAATGAGTTACTCTGGTGAAAAACATCTCTTTACTGTTCTGAAAACAGTCGTATCTTAGGATGTGAATACTTCTGCCTCATAAGAATGCCTGAGCATGCTGTTACCAAAAAAAAAATCTTTAAAAAATTTGGATGATATTAGATGAACAGCTGTGTAGGAAAGGGAATGTAAAAATAAAAACTGCATGTTGAAGCATCAAAATAGTAACCGTGTACAGTATATGGCTGTTTTTAATCAGATGAAGATTGAAGCTATTACATTTCAAATCAAATGTTATAAATTAGCCCAAGAATGCAGCTGAGCTCTCATTTAATTAGAAATGTCCATGTTTAAATCATGAGGTACAGTAGCTGCCAATGAAGCAAAAGGGCAAAGGAAGGGAGAAATGCTGTGTGTTGGCCCTCTGGTTCTCAACCGTCTCCTGCACAGAAGGAACATCTGGAGTGGACTAGTCCTGGATGTAAAGAACTTCATGTACTAGCTAATTTGAGAGTTAATGTAATTGTCCATAATTGTTTTGAGGACAATTAAAATCATTATTCTGGTCTGCATAGTTCTAAACCCTTTATTTGTGTGTGTGTGTGTGTGTGTGTGTGTAAAATGTATTTTCCTCTGTGCTGAATTTTAACTCTTGCTTGAATCAAAAGTAAAGCAAATTTTGGGCCAAAATGTCCTTGGTCAAATAACCTACAGCTGTCAGGTCACATTAAAAGGCAGCACAACCAGGAAGGTTACTCCTTTGGAAACAAGGCTGATTTCCTATTTCTGCTGCTTGGTTGGAGCTGAGCTAAAGCCCAAATCTATATCCCAAATGTTGGATAGTGCACTATTAAAGAAAAATGAGGCAACATCATAGAGGGATTTTTGAGGTCATACGGAGAGGAATGTAATTACACTTAGGCAAGCTTTTCCCCAAAGGTTATGAGCCTCTCCATCTTATAATTAGCCATGGTACAGCTAGATGGTCCAGGCAAAAGGTCTTTCTTTTCTCCCAATTTGCCTAATTCAAAAACACCTCAAGTGACTTGGTTCAAGTTTTCCAAATTAAACATACCCTTGGGGTTGAAACCATACACGTGACAGATCAGCTCTACAGAAAATCTTTGATTTGTACATAGAGGGGTTGGGGAGGGGGAGAAAAAAGGCAAAGGAGAAAGGGGAAGGAGTTAACATTTAAGTGGTTTCTCAACCTCATCATTACCCCTGCTCAAGAAAATAGAACACAGATGGCAAAACATGCCATCATTCTGCCCAAAAGAGTCCAAGGAACTCATTAGAAATTACTGTTGTTTCCTCATGATCTATTTGAATTTTTAAAGGACAAAATTATTAACGATCTTTTTAACACCCCAACACATTTAGTTAACTATAGTGCCATGGTGTGGCAAGTGAATAGATGTGTCACAAAGGTACAAAGTGCCATTGCAAACTACACACACTTACTATGGATGATACAATTCCTCAAGATCAACCTTTTCCAGAAAGCTGAGGAGGGAGTAGATGGTCACAGGCTGTTTGGGCTGATAAAAACAAGTTTCCAATAAGAAATAACAACCTTAAACTCTTGCTTACTTCTGGCCAGTGCTCCACACTCTTCTATCCGGACTCCAGTGAGAGGGTAGATGGGGATGAGGTCGACTGCACCCAGGCATGGGTGAATCCCCTCTTGAGCCTCCATATCTATAGCTTGGAAGGCTTCCAAGCAAGCAGCCAGAACGGAGCTGCCTAAAATTGTGAAAAACAACCATTAAATTGCAATCATATCTAAAGAAGTTACGGTTTTGTTGTCCCACGAGTTTCTTTCCTTTTGCCATCTGTATAAAAGATTGTTTTCTCATCCAAAATAATGAGAAACAAGAGTCAACATTTCTCCTTACCCCACCTCCCAACAGTCATAAAATTTTACATTTCTTCCAACTTTTTTCTCCCCAAAGTGGGGAGAATTATGCAATGTTTATTGGCCTTAAACTACTTTGTTCCTTAACAATTGTTTATTTTTAATTTTGTCAATTTTCTCCAATTAATCTGATATAATTCCTCACTACCAAAATAGTTTATGAATAATAATGTTAAAATACAGACAAAATCATAAACTTCTAAAATCATGAATACTAATTTTTTGTTTGGCTTTTATCTGGTGGCCAATCAACATTTTTCATTGAACTACTCTGTAGAAATAAATTTTATAAACACCTAGAGTTTTGTGTTATTACTCAGTTCCCATTAGCAGTTTAGAACGACCATTTCCACAACTGAATAAAGGCAGGGTCTATATTTCATGGCCATGATTAGCACTCAAGATGGTTGTCCTATGCTTGAGAGGAATTAAAACTCAATGCTTCCATCTCAAAACAAAGCTTTTTTTTTAAATTTTCACATTATTTTCACATTAGTTTATAGAATTAGTCCATGAGATCTAGTCAAAACAAAGCTTTTTTCTGAATAAGAAGTCAATCTTCAAATTTAAAAACAAGTTTATTTGAAAATATTTTGGATCCTTATATAATTTTGGTTTATAAAATTCTGCTTATTCTTCAAATTTGAGTCTTTTGATTTGAAACCTGACATCTCTGTGAGGCATGGAGCCCATTTCATTTCAATTTATGTTCCAACTGAGATTTCAGGCAACCAACACAAATCACAACTGCTTTTACATGTTCAAATTCATGCCAATTTAATGACAAAAGTCAAGGTGGACTTCACAAGTTAAATTCTGAACATGTTTTTCCTGACAATGAAGGACGGGTAATCATCTTGGGCAAAAGAATGTTAGTGTATCTTAGACCCCAAAGTTTAATGACAATAAGTGGGAAATTGGTAATGTTTAAGATGTATATGCCTTCAGAAAAAAATGAAATGCAATTTGGGAGTAGATTACTGAGTGAAGCGGAGTACTCACACTTATAAAATATCAATAGTTAAAGAGCATTCCACTTTATCTAAAACCTATTATTTACCAAAGAAGGGTAGGGTTCAGATAGAGTGTAATAAATCACATAAATTTATGTAATTGCAAAGACAAACTTAACTCTTACCCAGCTTCTCAACAGAAGCCACTATTGTAATAACTGATCTGTTGTAGTCTTGATCAGAAAATATATTGAGCACCGATACTTCAGGATGGTTCAATCCTGTAAAGATCATCACAGAAAGGCAAGAATATTTTTCTGTAGTGGAATTTTAATGCTTAATTTCTTCTGGTATAAAATTGAATTCAATATAAGAAATTCCAGAGTGTGAATTTTGCAAGTGACACTGTCTAAGTCTGAAATTCATAAGTATTAATGTTCACTTCCTAGAGAATCTTATTATATAACCAGATGGCTCAGTTCAAACACAAGAGTTTAGAATCTGAGACCTTCTCGTGGACTTGCCGAATTTGACACAGTTCTCTTAATTCAGTCTAAGATAGTAGCCCATATTTCAATGATCATCTTGTATTAGTCAAAGACAGATAAATGATCTCTACAATAAAAAAATGAAAGAAATTGATGAGTACACAAATATAACTACTAATGTTCATGGATTCAAAGTATTAATATTGTTAAGATGTCCATACTCCTTAAAGTAATTTTTCAGATTCAGTACGATTCCTATAAAATACCAAAGATATTCTTCAGAGAAGTAAATAAGGCAATTCAAAACTTTGGCATCCCAAAAGATTCCAAATAACCAAAACAATCCTGAATCTAAAGCACAAAGCTAGAGAATACCTGACTTCAAAACATTCTTCAAAACTACAATAAACAAAGCATCATAGTACTCACATAAAAACAAGACCTAGCAACTTTTGAACAGAATAAAGAGCCCAGAATAAGTCTGTACACTCTTTCACAAAAGCATTAAAAACATGTCCTAGAAGAAGTTTGATGTCTTCACGAAATGATGCTGAAGAAATAGGTACCAATACGCAGCAAGTGAACCACTGTAACTTACCACATACAAAAATGGGTCAAAGAGTGAATGTAAGTAAGGTCCCAAATGTTCCTACCTAAAAAATAGGAAAATTAGTATGGGCAAATGTTATTTTGGATAAGATCCCTAAATCATAAGATATAAAGGTAAAAATAGGCAAGTGGGATTCTATCAAACTAAAAAGCTTCTGCTAAGTAGAGAAAGCTATCAACAGAGGGAAAACTTACAGAATGGAGGACAATATTTGTAATTTACACATCTGACAGAGGCTTAAAAATCTCAACTATCTAACTAATAAAAAGCTATTCAATAATTCTATTTTGAAACAAAAAATAAACCAGAAAAAGAAAGACAAGAATCATATTTAAACAAAACAAACCAACCCCTCTCCTCTCTACCAAATGTAGGAAATTGGTAACAGGAAAAAAGTCAGCAGGAAGGAAGTGGGACAATTACAAGTAGGAAGTGGGAAGGGGCGGGAAAAATTGAAAGTACATTATACCTACTATGAAAAGTGATAGCAAAAACTGCTCTTTTGCATAATTAGTATGCTCTAATTAAACACAGAACAATCACATAAGAATAGAAAAAGTGTCACTCCAAATTTTATAGCCTTATCAATCTCATCTCCTATCAATCAACTAATAAAAAGAGCCTTATTAATATTTCCTTACAGAAAACCAGAAATCAAATTGCCTGGGTCAAGATCTGAACTCTGCATAGCAGAGGTTTCCAATGCTTGCACCTGTGCATTAGAAACGTTAGACTCCACATCTCTCTTCTGGAGACCACGAACAGCCTTCTGATCTTAACAACTTCAAGCTTTGGTGGCTTATGACTCACTTGAATTTGTAACCAGGAAGAGAATGCCGCCTTCCTTGTTACGGCAGCCATATATAAACCCAAAGTTATTTTTGAAGTTTACAAGTCTAGTCCTACCTCAACAGCCCCTTTCAAGCCTACAAAGCAAATTCAGAGTGAAAGACAAATGTTTTCAGGCAATAATTAAACCTTTAACTAAGCTATTATATCTTACTGACTCCCTTGTCCCCTGGCAGCTTAACAACTACTCTTTTCAGAGGAAAAGGAAAAACAGAAGGCACATTTAGTAACTACAGAGCTTATGGTGGTCCTACACTATTAATTTTAATAACATGAAAGACAAACATGTCACTCACTCATAGTCAAGTGAACATCCATAAAGCCCTGACCTCATGTAGGTCTCAAATTTATAACTCAGGTTCTGTTACTAAACTTCTTTAGCATATGCTTACATTGCTTAATTAGGAAAAAAATTAAGTTTATATTCTACTCACTTAAAAATAAATGCCTAGGGCTGGGAAAGTGGCTTAGTGGTAGAGTGCTTGCCTATCATTCATGAAGCCCTGGGTTTGATTCCTCAGTACCACATAAACAGAAAAGGCTGGAAGTGGTGCTGTGGTTCAAGTGGTAGAATGCTAGCCTTGAGCAAAAGAAGTCAGGACAGTACCCAGGGCCTGAGTTCAAGCCCAGGAGTGGCACAAAAATATAAAATAAAATGAAATAAATACCTTTGCTGAGACCTGATGGCTTATGCCTATAATGAATCCTAGCTACTCCTGAGGCTGAGATCTGAAGATTGAGATTCAAAGCCAGGAAGGTAGGTCCATGAGACTCTTATCTCAATTGACCACGAAAAAGCCAGAATTAGAGCTGTGGCTCAGGTGGTAGGGCACTAGCCTTGAGCAAGAAAAGCTCAGGGATAGCACGTAGGCCCTGAGTTCAAGCTCTGCAACTGGCACAAAAAATTAATTAAGTTAATGCCTTTCAATTATTTGCAAAGTAATAGGTTCACTTTCTTAACAAATGAAATCCTTCCCAGAATTTTTAAAACTAGAGAAGATAAAGCAAAAACAAGAACAGAAAGCCTATTTTATCAAGTTTTTCAATGTACTCTATCTCCTGCAAGAAAAAGATGTGATTTGTTTTTTGTCTTTTAAATCTGAAGCTGAAAAGCTTTCACTCTCAGTTTCATATCATTCAATTGAATGAAACACTCTCTACTGCAAGTTCTTAAGCATGCATATAGAAAAATAAAATGAGGGTTGGCGGAAGGAGCTGTCAGGATGAATCTCTGTGGAAGTAAATTGTTTGGAATTTGTAATGGAGTATAATAGCTATAATGCCATTTGAGTGGCTGCCACTAATAAGCTGATAAAAACCTGTGAGTTTAACCCAGTGTCCATCAGTGTGTGCCTTCCACACGTCTCTGCACATTGACTCAACCACAGACATAGGTAATCAAATCCCACTGGATGAACTGTTATTGACAATGAGAAGCCCAAACTGGGGGGGGGGGGAGTGGAGAGTGCTGTACACTGACACCAAAGGTTTTTTGTTTTTGTTTTTTTTTACTCAGCAATTACCAAGAATCTTCAGCTATTCAAAGTTACAAGGACACTAACATAAATATGTTCCTAGTTAGAGATGAAATGAAGGTGCCAGTGGCTCATGCCTGTAATTCCACCTGCTCCAGAGGCTGCAATCTGAGGGTCACAGTTCCAAGCCAGTCTAGGCAAGAAAGTCTGTGAGACCCTTTTCTCCAATTAAGTAGCAAAAAGCCAGAAGTGGAGCTATAGCTTAAGTGGTAGAGCACTAGCCTTGAGCTAGTGCTCGAGCCCAAGGACAGAGTTCAAGTTCCAAAACCAATGCAAGCACGTTCTCTCTCTCTCTCTCTCTCTCTCTCTCCTTCTCCCTCTCTCTCCTTTTCCTCTTTCTCTCCCTCCCTCCTCCCTTCCCTCTCTCTCCTTATCTCATACTAAGAGCAATCAGAAGTAAAAATGTACTATCCCAAACTACCCTAATGCTCACCTGTTGTCAAAAAGCTATTGACTCAATAGGAAATCATTTCTATGTAAACAATTTCAAGACTGCAAATACTGTGTGTGCTTCCATGTGTAATCATGTGTGTTTAAGTAAAAACAAATGGTACCTAAACAAAGTAATGTTTTTTGAAGGATGTAAAAGTGGAATAGCTTCTCTCCCTAATATTTGCCAAGGTAGGAAGGAGGCTTGAGTTCCAGTCTCTGTCATTGAATTGCTGAATGCTTACGTACATCACTTGAATACAATTTACCTGGCCATCTTTATACAGAGAAATACAGAGTAGAAGTAATATTACTGTCATGATAGCTGGCAGGAGTATTTTAAAATAAAAGTGATTGGTATTTGGCAAGTTTATTTTTCATTTAATCTGCTGAATTAAAAGCATATTTCACTATTATTTTATTCTATTAACGGTTGAATAAATGGCCCACTAAAGAAAACATTAAACTTTTATGTAAATATGTCTATTCAAGGAGCCTGCCAATAGTCTGAACAGTCTACATCTCAGAGACTCACGGGCAAATGTGAAGAACTGCTCTGCTGAGCCAATGTAGGCCCTTGCAAAGAACACATGTGAACATCTGAAGAAGTGATCCATCACAGCATCTTTTTGTCAGTCCCTGCAGAGGAAACAGCTCAAGATAATCTAGGGGGGAAGCATTCTATACATAGCATGCAGAGAGTGCAAAAATTACTGTCTCATCACAACACCGCATTGTCTGTTGTTACTACCATTTTTGTCAAGAAGAGCCGCTTTTGCTATGTTCTCAACAATGTGTTTTCTTCTGCCTTCGGAAACATTTAGTAAGCAGCCAGCCAAACGGAGCCCCAGTCTGGAGGAAGACATGGTTTTTCTAGAATACAAGAAAAATGATTCTTTCATTCTCTGTATTTGATTGCTACGGTCACATTCATTAACCCACAAAAACCCAAAATTTCTAGACCCAATGTGACTACTTTACTATTTTGTTCCTAGAGAATGTTTATTGAAATCATCCTCAAGAATGACTCAAATAGATTAGCATGGAAAAGTGGTAATGTACATTTGGACACAGGAACACCCCTACAAAACACCTTACAAGTTATTCAACATGCACTGTCATGTATGTGAATTACACCATTAAATATGTTATTCCACTTAAGCATGTTCTTCATCAAATATCTGTTTTTCCAGATCTCTACTGTGTAACAAATATGCATAGTCCTTTTGTTAGATTTCTTGGGGAAAGTCTGGAAGAAAAATGAGACAGACTATTTGAAATGCTGAATTTTATTTTTAAAAAAGTATTCTTGTAGATGCCGGGCGCCGGTGGCTCACGCCTGTAATACTACTCAGGAGGCTGAGATCTGAGGATCATGGCTCAAAGCCAGCCTGGGCAGGAAAAGTCCATGAGACTCTTATCTCCAATAAATCACTCAGAAAATTGGAAGTGGGGCTGTGGCTCAAGTGGTAGAGCGCTAGCCTTGAGCTGAAGAGCTGAGAGACAGCTCCCAGGCCCAGAGTACAAACCCTACAACCAACCAAAAAGAAAATTATTCTTGTAGAAACAAAAAGAGAAAGGAAGGAAGGAGAGAAAAAAGAAAATAATGAAAAATGAAACAAAGGAAAGAAAAAAAAAAAAAGGAAGGAAGGACTGAACACTGGTGGCCCATACCTGTAATCCTAGCTACTTGGGAGGCTGAGATTGGAGGATCATGGTTCAAAGCCAGCCTTGGGCAGGAAAGTCTGTGAGACTCTTATCTCCAATGATCCACCAGAAAACCGGAAGTGGCACTGTGGCTCAAGTGGCAGGGCCCTAGCCTTCAGCTGAAGAGCTGAGGGATAGCGCCCAAGCCCAAGAGTTCAAGCCTCACGACCAACCAAAAGCAAAAACAAAAATGAAGGAAGGAAGGAAGGAAGGAAGGAAGGAAGGGAGAGACACGGTAACAGGCTGCCCAGGCACATAGTGCCCGGCACTATACAATAAAGCCTGCTGGATCTTTTAAAATGATAACTAAATTTGTTCCACAGAGCTCCACCTTCTACTTTTGATCTCCAAAGTTTCTGAATCAGTTTTAAATCACTTCACAGGACTATACCCTGAACTGAAAGACGACACATATTTTTCTAGGTGTTATTCAATAAGGCCAAAAATGTGATTGTTTTATCTAAAATGAATTAACTCCACAAGTTTTGGAAGTTGCCTTTTTTTTTGTAGAATGACATTTGTCAACCCATCTTTCTATACATCAAATGTCATTATTATCCAAAGGAATTAAAACCTACAGACATTCTACTTCTCAAAACCAGGAAGCCATAATGTTAGCCTCTGGAATACCATAACCAAAAATGAAAGTAGCCTTCATAAATTCATTCATTCAATGAACATTTGATAAGGTTCATCTCTGTCTGGAAACGTTTTCCATATGGAGGATACTGTAGTGAACTGGACTCCAACTGTGAGACAAACTTAAAACTTAAAAATTGAAGCTAAATTGGCTTTGGTGCAAATCATGATGCTCTGGACAAATAAATCCATTCCTTCTGTTCAAAGCTTCGCTGATGGAACTATCAGCGTTTTCTATGCAGGATTTTCTAACATGGCCCTCATCTCATCATTGAAAACCCCTAAAAGAAAATGTGGTCATTAGGTTTTTCTGGACATTAATAACGTGGTGGTAATAAAGCAGCCCAGACCTCTCTCTTTTCTATGTAAACAAGGAAAAAATCACTCTACACAAGGGGTGTGGGCGTCTTCTGGTTTTCATTTGTTTGCAGTGTGTTTATGTCGCTTAATTGTCTCATCAGGCACTTTCCCAACATAATTATGCTTTTTAACAAATGGTGTTTATGGCAACCCCTAACAGTGCAAAAGAAAGGATTAGTTTCCTCCTCTCCTTCCACATTTGATTCCCTGTGGACAGCTAAATCACACAAAGATGGTGCTAGCAACAATCTACCTTCCCAGCGAAGGCGGACCCAGAGAGGGCTCGCTTCCCCCCAAAGTGACCCAGCGCAAGCGCACCACTACTCTTGGTTTGGGACCGGGAGGCCCGGCGGAACTCGGCCTTTCAGCCACCCTCTAGTGCCTTCGTGGGGGCGCAGATCAACAGGCCAAGGGCCAAGGGGCGCCCCTCCCCACTCCCCTTCGCGTCGCCGCTCCCGAGAAGCACCCCGCACACCCAGGACGAAAGCCCGGAGACCCACGCGCTCTCCCACCTGCCGGACGACAAGCCACCTGGACAGGAGGGTCACCCACCCCGGTGACCCCGCGCCCCCAGCAGGACACCGCCCGGCTTCCCCTGCCCCGCGTCCCCGGCACCCGCGGGGACCTGGCCGCCCAGCGGGATTCACCGCGCGTGCCCGGTGCGCCGATTTCCTCCCCCCCCCCCTCCCGACGCCCCGCGGCGGCGGCTCCGCCTCCCTTGCGTCCAAGGCAGGGCGCGCCCCGCCCAGTCCACCTGGCGTGCCCCGCCCCACCTGCCAGGCCCCGCCCCGCCCGCAGCGCCCCGCCCCTCCTGCTCAGCCTCGCCCCGCCCGCTAAGCCCCGCCCACCCCACTTGTCAAGCCTCCTCCCAGGCTCACCTGCCGAGCTCCGCCCTGCCCTACCTACTGAGCTCTGCGCGCTGCCTGCTCCCCCGCCCCGCCCCCATTCCCCTCCCTCCACCCGGCGGTCCAAGACTCTGGCGTCCCCCGGAGCATCCGAGCTTCCAAGCGCTCTGTCGCGGAATTCTGCATGTAACCTGCGTGCTTTTTAAAGCAGGCATTGGCTCGTGAGGATGAGGGCTTCACCCAGGGGTCCTGCACCAGCAGGGGGCTCCTCTCCGCTTCCACACACAGACACACAGACGCACAGACACACACACACCACCTTCCATCTCCCCGGAGAAATACCGCCCTGAACGCCCAGGCTAAATTGATTCCCGGACCGGAGCATCACTTGCGCACCCACACCCTAAACCAGTAGGATCAATGTTTACCAATCACCCCCAAACCCCCACCCCACGGCCTCCCTCCCAGGCCAGTCAATCTGGCCAACGCATTTCTCTTTCAAAGAGGAAAAAAAGAAAATTCAGGATTTGGCTTTGGTTGTTGTTGGCTTTATTTTTTTTTAAGGATTAAATGTCACCATTCTGATGCAGTTTCTCTTCTTGAAGGGAAATGATCACTAAATAACTACTTTGACGGGATAAATTAATTTCTAAATCTATTTTTTAAATTTTCTAATTATAATTTTTGAACACAGATTTGAGGAAATTAACATTTATGTGGACATTTGGTTTCTAGCCTAATGTGGCATAAAAATAAGTAACATAATGAGTGTTAAAAAAAATCAGGTTCATGATGCTTCTCACATCATCATCATTGTACTTAGATGTCACAACAGTATTATGTGCGATTATGTCAGACCCAGCCTTCTCCATCTCGGAGTGTTGGCAGGTAGGAGGGTTGTTGGCAAGAGGAGGGGTGTTAACCTCAGGATCCTGGATCCATTCCAACGCTGGTAATTACATTCTGCCAGCCAAAATTCATCCCATAATTTTAATTGGATAAATCCTTTCTGGCCTAAGCTACTGCTATGCCTGTCAAACTGTTGCCACGTTTCACCCCAGAGGTGTCTGTGTTTTAGTTGCAAGAATCAGTCCCTTTGAGGTTGGCTTATCAGTTTAAACCCTCAAAGTGCTTTGGGATCCTATGGAATTAAATGTATATTTATATGTATTTTTATACTGAATCTGCACAGAAATACAAGAAATAAGACATATACCCATGTTAACGCCTAAAGATCAATATCCATGTAATGTCAGAATTTACTAGGAAATTCTGAGGGTGGTTTTAGCCAGATTTTGGTCCATCACTTACTTCATCTTTCCTCGAGAGCTTTCATTCTCAATAACTTTAGCTGGTATTTTTCCCAAAAAATATCCTTCCAGGGTAGGAGAAAGAACTGATGCCACTGCATTTCACCTTGGCAAACAATGGTCTGATGAGCTTCCTTGGAAGAAGTAGACAGCATGGTAACGTGACGTGTGGTCCTCTCATGTCTGTCCACACAAAACATTGTGACAGCGAGGGGCTTCCTCGACTGGCCCTAGCAACTGCCAAGAGGAAAGCTGTTTCCTAAGTCTCTGAACTCTCTCCCCTGAGGATTTCTGTCTTACAGAGCAATTTGTGTGTTACATAACATTCTGTAAGCACCTCTCAACACCTTACTCACTTCAAACACAAAAGAACCTACAGGCCCCGCTAGGCCCATGCCTGTAATCCCTGATACTCAGGAGGCTGAGATCTGAGGATTACAGTTTGAAGCCAGCCCTGGTAAGAAGTCCATGACACTCATCTCCAACTAACCACCAAAAAGCCATAGAGCGCAAGGCCTTGAGCACAAAAGCTCAGGGACAATACCTAGGCCTTGAGTTCCAGCAGCCCCATAACCAGAACACACACACACACACACACACACACACACACACACACACACACACACACACACAAGGTTGGGAGGGTGGGAGCAGGACCCCTATGTGTATTTGGAAAAGGCAAAGGACAGATACAAATAAGTAAAACAAAAAAAATTGCATTTAAAATTGAATGCGTTGGTTTATTGTCTTCAATAATGGAAACCTACCTGGTGATTCTACATGTAATCCTGCCCATTTCTTTATTTACAAGAGCTTTGTCACTTTATAACCAAGTCTCGTTTTTGTTTTTCTTTTATAAGTTAGAATTCTTTGGAAGGGCAGTTGTAGTTTTTGAGTTAATGAAGTATTTAAACTCGGTTCTCTTGTTCAGTCCACTTTCGGAACATTCAAACTGTTTGTTCATTATGCTTCCATTCCAGAAACCAGTAAGCACTAGAACAGAGAACAGCTCAAACTCCGAAGCATTGCTGGGGATGTAGCTCAGTGGTAGAGCACTTGGCTTGCATGCCTGAGACTCTGGGTTTGGCCCTTAGCACAGAAACAGACAAGTTCCTCCAAGGACAGCTGCTCTTTCCTCCCACACTTTAGACAAGGATATTTTACTCTTTTTCCCTTTGGGAAGTGGGAAAAACTGAGGTCTTGTAGCACACTTCCCGGCCTGTGTGAGCTGAAGAGAACAAAGGAGAGAGAGATTGTCTTCTATTGGAGCCCAGAGCCGTGCCACTGGTCACACAGGATCAGGACAAGGGTGAAGCTGGGTACAAATTTTTCCCTCAGTGCCAATATTAAACGCATGTCAAAAAACTGGATGAAACGCAATGTTTTCAAAAAATCGTAATTCAAAATAAGAAATCCACTGTAAACAAAATATCAAAATTTTAAATAAAGACAGGATGTTATCTACCTTTGTTCCTTCACTTGGCCTCATCTTAATCTCAGTCCCGTGGCTGCAGTCCTCCTTTATGTCAGATTAATTCAGATTGTAGAGCTGAGAAGAAATTACACCACTCTGCCCTGCCGGCATCCTGGATCTCCCCCAACCCCCAGAATTGTCAAAGGCAGAAATTTTCAGGCCAGTGGAGATGTATAATGTATAGTCTATTCAAGAGTTGCTACACTCCTATATATAGGAGGTGGTTATCTTATTTCAAAAGAAGGAGACCTTTATTAGAAAAAGCAGAAGAGTAAATTTTATTTACATGATTCATACCAGAATGCAATGAGTAGGCTTTCTCTGTCCTGAGGAATTTTCAAATTGTTTAAAGAACATCTTTATACTCTGTGTGTGTGTGTGTATGTATTCTGTTTTCAGATTTTCTGAATTAAGAAAATCTGAATAGAGAATTTCCTTTTGAAAGATAGAAGTCTAATTTATATCTAGCCTTCATATTTCCCTTTCACCTTTTCCTTTTATTTTTGTATGAAAATTCCATTTTGCTTTCCTACTACCTCACAGAATATGAAAACATTTCATCTATCATTTGATTATAATTCCAGAACAAATGTTTTAAATTACTTATGAGTTTTTAAATTATCTCTATCATGTGGTATTATGAAATGGTTCCATAAGTTCTCAGCTAAACAGAAAATGGGGTTTGCTGCTGTCATTTTTATTCTGTAGTAGTGGAAGTTGTGCTATTTATTTATTTTAAAAGAAGAAATCTGATATCCAGACTGAAGGTATAGAAGCTAACAGAAATGTATCCATTGCCCCACCCATCTGTGCCTTAATCATATAAAATTATATCTGGCCACTTTGTGTCTTAATAAAGAAGCATGAAAAGCCCCACAAAATCTGCAGAACTATTTTCTCATTCTATTTTGGAAATATTCTTCCTTATGTAATATAGAATGGAGTCTTCCTTTCTGGTTGCTGATCTCTTTATCATGAAAGACCAGTAGGCCAGATTAAAAGTCAGTATAGTTATTTTTTAAGTTGAAATTGCTTGTTATGCATCCTATGCACTTAGAGCCAGAATCTCTCATGAAGCTAGCTGGGAAGTCTAAAGCACCCGCGCAGTTCACTCCTTGCCTTTTTATGTCTCCTATGTAGGATTCAGTTGTGCTTTTACTATGGAACTCACAATACGGAATGAAAGGAAGTATTTCCTGGGGACTCTCACTAACTTTTCATTACCATTAGTTATATGACAAATGAAAAGTGATTCCTAACATAGACTTTAAACTTTTGCTGAAATTTTGTTTTTAACTGGTAGGGCTGCATTAAGATGATTTCTTAACTGAATACCAATCACTCAATATTTACTTAAAAATTCCACCTAGTGGGTGGCTGGACGTCAGCTTTCATTGAAAATGATGTCCAGGAGTGGGCAGTCGTGCCTTGCACTTGCAGGCTTTATTATCCTTGTTCAATGTCCTAAGGTATGTACAAACAAATAACAACCCTTATTACCACCCACAAGGTCAGGATTGGTACATACAGGAATCAGGGACCCTAAACAGAAGCACTAATGGTGTAAGGCGATGTTTGCCGTGACCTGACCAGATATGTGTTCCCGAGGTATCCCTCTTTGACAAGGGAACGTTTTAGAGAGAACTATCTCTCTTGCTCTTGGAATTATTTCCTGTTTGTAGGGAGGAAAACTGAAGGTCCATCATTTTCCTCCTGGTTTGTCTTTTACTATAGAGCTTGGTGTTTCTCTCTCTCCCTCTGTCTCTTTCTCTGTGTCTCTCTCTCTGTCTCTGTCTCTCTCTTTCTCCCCCCTCCCTCTCTCCTTACTCCTGTTCCTCCTTATCCTCCTCCTCCTCTTCCTCCTCCATCTCTGTATTATCTTTCTATCCAGTGTTTTGAGATAGGGTCTTTACTGCCAAGGCTGGCCTGAAATTTATTATATAGCCCTCAAATTCAAGGTCCCCCAGCCTCAGCCTCCCAAGTGCAGCATTGCTGGTGGATATTTTCATGCCTGGCTCTGATT